AGAGAAGGAAGAAGCAGGGTAGGAGGGAGGGTGGCAACCCACTCCAGCCCCGCCCTCAGGTCCAGCCAGGGCCTCTCGGGCAAGCGGCTGGCTGGACCTCTCTGGTCCCCCCATCAGCTCCTCAACCAACTGCCCCTTGTGCTTGAGCCTAGGTGGACTCAAAGACCTGAAGCATCTGGGAATGATTTAATCCTCTCAAATGCACTACTAATTGAAAATGATACCTTTCCAGCCACATCCTCAAATGGAATAAAAGAGAGACCCCTTGAAATAAATATTCAGCAAAAGCCAGCCTGGTGATGTCCACAATGGATTCAGAACTACACATCTGATCATCAGTGGTGTCAAAGCAAAGTGGCAAATTCTAACAACAGACTTTCTATCCCCTGAAGACAGTTGGATGGATACAAAGTCAAAATCATTCAAGCCTCTTCTTAGAACATTCTAAAAATAAAATCTATGGGTTCGAGAATCTTCCACAGGGAGGGACCACACAACGTATATAGAAATCCACAGCCAAGCTGTCTGTCATTGCCAGTTTCTCAGAGTCGGATGTACACGTACCCCTTAGGTGGATGTGAGCAAAGCCACAGGGTACCCAAGCACATGCACCAGCAGGCCCAATCTGACTTCAAAAGGTGGGAAATAAAGCAGCAAAATATCTGTGCTCCCTGCACCTACATGGAAATGAGACTGAGTTATCAAATGATCCTGTCGCCAAGACAGAAAAGAGACACTTCTTAGGTACTGAGTCTGATTGGTGGGATCAGCTCTAACCAAGTCAAAAGAATCTCCAAATTTCAGTAGATTCAATAGAACTGAGTCACCTGATAACCAAGAGAGTAGAAAATCTGGTTTTGACTTGCTTCTTCTCATGGCAACTCAAAGCATTATTTTTACGTTGAAATACAATACAATACAAGACGCAATAAAAAAATACACATGAAGTTTTATAATAAAACACAATCTCGAAATTTTTAAACTTGAAGCAGATCGTTGTGGGCAGTAGTGGGTAAAAATTCCCTCTCCTCTGCCATGAAGACATTTTAACAAAGAAGTTAGTTCCGGAAAAGAAAGACGGCCAGGCTGGAACCTCAACCCCAGGAAGATGAACACTGGCCACTCAGTTCACTGCAGGATAAAAGCCCGTCCCACAGAATTGAAAAGAGAAAACCTAACCTCTGCCTGAGCCGGAACGTACCACGATTGCATTTGATCACTTACCTTAGCCCTCACTGAAACTCAGGGAAGCAATTACAGCTGTGATCTCCCCATTCTACAGATGGGCAAACTGAACTTAAATATGGAACCAGTAAGGGGCACAGCTGGGTGTGAACCCAAACTCCACCACCACCCAGGTCCTGGTAGCATCTGCCACAGTGTGACCACACAACCTCCCCCACACCGCTGCCAAATTCACCTTCGTGTGCAGCACCTGCCGTTCCCAGGATGCACACACCCGACTTTGGCCAGACCTTCTCTGAGGCCTGCTCAGATCCACAGCGTGGCTCCCTCAGGGTGAAAGGGACCGGAGCTACTGAGCTTCCCCCCAAGGCAAAGAAGCATTCCCAGCACTGGGGTTAAATTAGGAATGAAGTTGCTGGGCTGAGAGAGGAGGGCCTTTGGGGGCCCTGTGGGAAGGCTTGGCCTTATGGATCATTCGATGACTCTGAGAGCTCTGGGAGGAGCTGGGGTGTCCCAGGCGGCAGCCACACGCCGTATGGAACTGTTGAGGGCTTGGTGTGTGACCAGTCCAAACAGAGGTGTGCTGTGGTTACAAAATACACCCCAGCATGCAGAGACTTCATATGAAAACAAGAATGCAGAATACCAAGTTAATAATTTATATATTGATTGCATGTTGAAGTGAGAGTGTCAGATACTGGGTTTTGTTCCTGTTGTTTAGTTGGTAAGACATGCCTGACCCTTTTGCAACCCCAAGGACAGCAGCCTGCCAGGCTCCTCTGTCCACGGGGTTTCCTGGGCAATAATATGGAGTGGGTTGCCATTTCCTTCCTCAGGGGATCTTCCCAACCCAGGGATCGAACCCACATCTCCTGAATTGGCAGGCAAGTTCTTTACTGAGCCACCAGGGAAGTCCACATATTGTGTTACTTAAAATGTATTATTAAAATTAATTTTAATAATTTTAATTTATTTAACTTTAATTAAAATTTTCAATAATTTTAACAATTTCTATTTGTTTTGAATGCTGCTACTAGAAAATTTAAGATTATATTTGCAGCTTATGTCCTATTTCAATTGGACAGTGCTGGTCAGTACCTTCTGGAGACCTTTGATTGTTACTTAGTATAAAGTAGACTCTGTTGTGGTCCATTTGCTCAGATGTGGCTGTCCCTGTAATTGCCCTCGAGGGAGGGGAGCCAGAGGTCACCCCACCTGGAATTCTTTCTGGAAATCCTCAGCCAATGGGAGAGTAGCAGGCCTTTTTCCTAAGAACCCAAAGCACAGGAAAGGTGAGCCCTCTTCCATCCTCATTTCCTTCAAGGACCAGAGCAAAGCAAGTGATCCAAATAGAAGTGGACCATGGGTTGGGAAGATTCCCCTGGAGGAGGAAATGACAACCCACTCCAGTATTCTTGACTGAAAAATCCCATGGACAGAGGAGCCTGGTGGACTACAGTCCATGGGATCTCAAAGATCTCCTAACCACTGGACCTAAAGAATTCCCTATATTCTTTTTTTCACACTGAGAGAGTCAATCCTTAGATAGATTGATAAGGAGTCTGGGGCCCTGAGGAGGAAGGGGTCCAGGGCCCTTGAGAAGGAGAAAGGGGTCCAGGGTTCTCAAGGAGGAGAAAAGGACAAACTTTTTTTCCTACATTCCTTAGCCTTAGTCACGTAAGATGCTATTTTCTTTCGGCCCAGAGCTAATGATTACACAATAAAACAAAAGATGTAGGTTGTGGGAATGGGTATGGTAAGACCTTTCTATTGTTAGTTCTAATCTTGTTAATTTAAAAGGTATGTTGAGGGAGTGGGTCTGGTAAAAGCATTTAAGGCTTTGATGAAGACAAGCGAGTGGGGCACTCTTCATCCCCCTCATGATGTCTATGTCAGAAACTTTCTCTGTCCCTTTTTAGACTTTATAAAACTCTGCTACACAAAAGCTCTTGAGTGATCAAGCCTGGTCCCTGGTCCCAAAGCTAAATCTTCTTCGGAGATCACGAATCTGACATTGCTCACCATAAGCTATCAACACTAAATCTTCAACATCTGAGATGCGTTTTCCCCTCACAGCACATCTCCAGACACATGTGACCAGGGCTGCCAAAATGAACACCACAACTCCAGAATCTGAAAGTCTATCACCCAACAAATCCTCAACCAGAGCAAAGTGCACAGAACACCCATTATATTAAGGTCAATATCTACTGCTCTGTAAACTATGATAAGTCATGCACTTTGAGCCACTAAGATTTATGTCTGCAGAGAGTTCTGATGGCAGCAGGAAAAAAGAACTCTGAGAATTTAAACAGAAAAAAACAAAAAAAACAACAGTGGATGAAACTACCCTAACATAATGTGTTTGTGCACACACTAACATCATAAATACCTGTAATCATTAGGTGGTGGGGCTGTGGATTTTTTTCTTTTTCCTTATACTTTTTTCTACATCTTACACATATCTAATGTTAATTTAGAAATTATAATTTTTAAATTAAAAGTGATTAAAACATCGAGTCATGAAATATTTATTGAATTACTATATGCCTGGTCCTAAGACCTTCTTGTTCTCCAGGAAGGTTGATAAAACATCCGGGGACTGAAGAAAGAGCTAATATATAGCATTTGTGGGGAGAGGAAGGGGAGGATTTTTCAAGTTAGACATCTTTTCCTACACTTTTACTGGGAATGTCAAAAATACATATGAGCAAGGGCTGTGGGGAATTTTGTGCTAAGTCAGCAGCAGAGACAAGTGTCCAGTGCAGATTAAACTTGCATCTGTCTTGGCAACAGGGCTTGCCACCCTGTTGGCCCAGAGTTATGAGAGTTGCCCTCTTTCGGAAGGCAAGGCAGTTGGGTGGAAGTGCTCAGACTCGAAAAACAGGTGATCATGCATTCTTTTGGCGTGTGCAAAATATGCATTAAATCATTTACAAAATGCCTGCAGCTGTTTGGTAGGATACTCTGGGCTAGCCACAGGTACTAATTTAAAATCCAACCCCGCCTTGCTCACATGACCATGTGCCTGCGTGTGCGCGTGCGCGCGCACACACACACACACACACACACACACACACACACACAGCTCTGGAGGAGCCAAAGAGCTAAGGATGCTGCAAAGCTTGTTCAGAATGTGTCTGAACCTCCCTCTTCCCTGAAGGATGCCATTTCCCAGCAGCAGCTCGTGCCCAGCCACGGGTGGCGTTTCACTCGGGGAAGAACAGGCAGGTACACTGCAAAGTGTGAAGGTGTGGGATTCCTTGTTGCATCTGTCATTTGTCCTCCTCCCGAGATCTCTAGGGGGCATGACTGCTGTTGGTGATTAGACATTCCTGCTGAAGATTAAATCAGACTTGAATCTGTTTACGTCAAAAGGTAATGAACTAGATTAGGAGGTGTCAGGGTCAGAGAGTTGGGAGATATGGGCCGTGCTGTCTAAGGGGTGAAGGGTTTCTTGGAGGGGATGACAATGTTCTAAAATTGAATACAGAGTTGAGAATTGCACAACTCTGTGATTATATTAAAAGCCACTGACTTGTATACCTTAAATAAGCAAATGAGATGGTATGTGAATTACATCTCAATAAAGATGTTAAGAAAAACAAAGATAAGCTCAGATGTGAAAACAGCTCCTTTATACAAGCAATGAAGATCACAGTTATCTCAGGCACTGTATAAAGAATCGGAACGGCTAGGTGCGTCTTTCTTAGATTAAGACGCATACATTAGCAGTACTATCCTTTGCAAAACATCCAGCATGTCTCTCCCAAAGGAAGGCAGGGTTCTCCAAAGGCTGATCCCTTTTCACTGACCTTTCTGCTCCAACCGCACTGCTGGCATCATCTGAAATAACCTTGTCCGTGATGTCTGGAGCATCCTTCTCAGGAACCAAAGGTAACGTGGATGGGCCAGCCTTGGGGCTCTTTCTGGGATAATGTAAAGAAAGCAATACATCTTAGAAAGGGCATTTCTCTCCATGTCCTATTGAAAAGCCCATTTCCCAGTTTAAGCTTTAAGTGGCTACTTCGTGAAAATCTCTAGAAAAAAAAAATTAGCTTCAGGCAGTGAAAGGCTTTGAGATGCTCTGGGATCGTTTAGGCCTGTCTGCATAAATAAATCCAGATTCAAAAGCAAATGTATCTGGACACCAGAAAAACAGTCTGACTGACCATAACCTATGACCCCATAGTGCACTGCTGGCCTGTAAACATTTCACGCTTTACAGTTTCAGTTAGAAGAATTAAAGAATACAAGGAAAGGAAAAAAGATGTGTTAACAGACAAGTCCCACACCTCTGAACCATTTCTCACGTTTTCAGACTCTCAGCACATCCAGAGATTGTAAGCAGGGAAATTTAAACAATTAGATACGGAAAAATGTAGCTTCTTTAAAGCCACTCATCACTTTGACTTTTAAAAATGGGAATCACTTTTACGGCTGACCCCGCATTAGTGTGTGAATTTATTCTAAGTACCTCTCAGCGTCCAGTGCTTCTGGATCCAGGTTTTGCTGCTTCGGGTCCAGAGTTTCGTCAGGTTCTGGGGGTGAGGAGACACCCATCTTCCCATCTTCCGCAAAAGCAGGGAGCTCAGGCCTGGGTTGCTCCTCGGCCTGTGGGGGCCCAGCTGGGCGGCCCCCATCTGGGGCGACTTCTGCATCCATCCTCAGAGCCCCTTCTGAGCAGCCTGGGTACCCAGGGCTTCCTGGCACAGCCGAGGCAGCAGCCACACCGGAGAATATTCTCGTAGTACCTGTTTCAGGCAGGTCCTCAGACACATGTGCCCCAGTCCCAGCTGTGCTCAAAGTGACGTCACCCTCTGCTTCCCCAGCAGCTCCGGCTTCCAAGCCGGGCTCCAGCGGATTCTCTGCCACTTCCCCAGCTGGGGGATCTGAGGCGCCCTGGGTGCGCAGGGCATCTTGTGTTTCCGAGACGCCAGCTGCACCTACACGCCCCCTCTCACCCCCAAGCAGGTTTGGGGTGCAGGGCTCACTGACGGCCTCGGGCAGAGGTGGGACGTCCCTGTGGGGAGATGCTCCCTGGGCAGAGGTGGATCCTGGCATGTCACCCAGAGCCGCTGGGTAAGAAGAGCCCCGGGCACCATCTTCTCTGGGTTGACTGTCCCGGCGGGCTGTTTCCTGGCACTGTTTTCCAGAAGGAATCCTGTCATCTGGACCTGAATCCCCTTCTCCATGGCTCTGGGAAGCCACCTGCAAGTCAGCCCCGGAAATCTTTGGAGATGCTGCTTGTGAAGACAGACCCGAAGCTGATTCCTGCGGGCCATCTGCCTGCTGTGAATGGGCCGGGACTCCTCCAGGTCCCGGCCACCAGCCTTCCCCGGCCCCCTCGGGTTTCTCGCTGTCCGCCAGCATCTGCAGGGCCTCGCTCATTTCCTTCCCGACACTGGCGCCCAGCAGGTTGTGCTCTGTGGCCAGCCAGGCCAGCCCCGGCAGCTTTCCTGGAGCTGGATCCTGGGGACCCAGACGAGAAATCTCAGCCTCCACAGTCAGCTCTTGCTTCTTCCCCTTCGAGTCCACCCAGAGACCAGCGGGAAGGGTGGGGAGAGGGGCGATGGCCACTCCTTGAGTTGCATCTGGAAGCTTCTCTGGGCTTGGCACCGTGAGGCCCTTCTCCATCACCCTCTTCCCGGCTCCCACCTTTTCTCCCTTTGTGCTCTGGGGCCGATCGGTGGTCAGGGCTCCAAGCACAGACTTCTCGAAGATCTTGGTGATGTGCTCCCTGAAATCAGGCAACCCAGCGAGCATCCCGGTCTGCCTGCAGCTGGCGTCTACACCAGCTGATGCTCCCCGCCTGGGATCCTTGGAAGGCTCTAGCATCCTCTCCCCGCTGCCCTCAGTCTCTCTTGCTGCTTCCCCTGCCTTGCTCTCCTCACTGACAGGGCATGCTGGAATTTCACCGGGCTCAGAACTTGCACCAGGAGCTCCTGACCGCTTCTCCTCCTCTGTGGTCTGCTTACCCTTGACCAGAAATGGCATCCTGTCCAGGTAGGGCACGGAGTCCACAGGACCCTCTGATGTCCCGGCTTTGGGGCTTCTGGGGCTGGCTGGCCCTGCAGAGATTCCCTCACCTGCAGCTCCTGCTTGCGAGAGGGAGGACTCAGCAGAGCCCTCCGTGGAGGAGGCCTTTTCCGAGGCAAGCAGGGGCTCCCGAGTGGAACAAGGGCTTTCACCAGGGGCTCCGGGGCCTTGGGGTGAGACAGCTATCACGACACTGTCTTCCAGCCCTTTCCTGGCAGCACCCTCGATGTGCAGGTAAGGAGTGCCAGGGGCAGCCTCCTCCGGGGGTCCAGACGGCAGGAGCCTCTTTGAGTCAGGGACAACCTGCGCTGCAGAAAGATCCACCAGGCTCCTGGGACTTTCAGCCAGGTCCCTAGCTACAGGCCAGACATCCTGGCAGTTGGCCGAGAGCTGCTCACCTGTAGCAGGGGTAGAGGCTTCCTCCCCAGGGGAGGGGCGCTGCTCTATTTGGAGGGAGCCTGGCTCCCCCAGAGCCTGCCACATCCCCAGGGCTCCTCCGTCCGCCTTCCCACAAGTCTCAGCACCATCCGCACCTTGATCCTTGGCTGATGGGAAAATCCCAGGAAGCTCCGGGACCTCTGCATCCGAGGCAGTGAGGTGCTCCATTTCCTTCTGTGGGACCAACCCCGGTTGCTGCCCGCCCTCCTGGGTTTCTTCACCTGCGTCTCTCACTGGGGCATCCTGGGTGGGTGTGGCTCGGGGGCTGGTAGGTGCTGGAACCGGCCGGCAGTGAGCTGCCTCTGGGAGAGCTACTGAGTCAGGCCGACGAGGCGGGGCCCCCACAATGTTTCCACTTGCCTTCTCTGTCTTGCCCAAGTCCTGGAGCTGGGGCCAAGCGTCAGCTGCTCCTGAAATGCCTGCATCCTCAAGACATGCTTCTTGGTGGGTGTGGCTCGGGGGCTGGTAGGTGCTGGAACCGGCCGGCAGTGAGCTGCCTCTGGGAGAGCTACTGAGTCAGGCCGACAAGGCGGGGCCCCCACAGTGTTTCCACTTGCCTTCTCTGTCTTGCCCAAGTCCTGGAGCTGGGGCCAAGCGTCAGCTGCTCCTGAAATGCCTGCATCCTCAAGACATGCTTCTTCATGCTGGCTGCCGGCATTCAGCCCATCAACCAGCTCCTGTTGGGACTCGTGTGGCCCCTGCCCAGTACAGCTATGTTCCTTTCTATTCAAGCTACCTGCAAGAGAAGGGTCTTGGAAGGTGTCCACTGCAGGAGATGAGCTCCTGGACAGCTGACTGCCGCTGCATTCTCCGTCTTGCCCCTTCTTCCCGAGTGCAGGCAACTCAGGCCTCATGGGTGCTGACAACTGCGACTTCTCAGTTGTAGGATTCTCCAGAACTGTGTCCCCAGGAGGTGAACTCGGAGCATCAGACAGACTGCCTTTGAGAAGTTCACTTTGAAGTTCTGTTTCAGAAGCCCGTTCTTTTCCTCCATGAGTGGATAAGCTCACATCTTCCCGAGGTTCCACGGGTATGTGGATTTGAGGAGAATCTGCGCCCAGGATATTAAAATCCAAATCACCTGGATAAGTCTCTTCCTTGCTTTCACACTGTTGGGATGTCTCCCTGAGCATACCGAACACCGATGCTTCTGGGTGTGTCTGGGATATCTGGAGATGGTTCTCAGGACACAGTAAGGGCCTCTCGGATGCAATCACTTCTATGCTGCTGTCCCCCGGGTGGGATACGTTTCCCTGCCGATCTTGCTCCAGGCTGAGTGTTGTGAGCCCACAGTCCACTGCCCGGTTCTCTTCCTCAGGGGGAGGGGGCCCATCAGCGTGGACTTCCTGTCCAGCTGTGTCACGCCCCAGCCCATGGGGGTGAGGGGGTGTCAGCGAGCCCTCCCCCGCCCCACGGCCGGGCCTCTGTGCGGATGGGTGGCTCCCTGACTTTATTTCAGGCATGTGCTCCACCTCCTGGGCTTTGGGGACGACCTCTGGAGCAGGAGCCAACAGGAAATCCAATTTCTCAGATTCTAAAGCAGGAAGAGAATCCATTCTTCCCAGTCCCTCCACGTCCTGAAGGGTGTCGGGACATTTGGTCTGCGGTCCCGGCCCCGCCCAGACGGCTCCCTGGGGAAGAACATGTTCCCCAGCTCCTTCTGGTCCAGAGAGTGGGCCAGGATGCTGTTCAGGGAGCTTTTGCAGTGAGCCTGATGCGTGGACCACTTGGGATTCTCCCATCATTCCACGGGCCACCACGTTCCAAGCTGCATCTTCTGAGGGAGGGTTGGACCTGTCCGCATGCCCAGGGATCTCCTCTCCGAGTGGCTGTGCTAGGACTGTGTTTGGAAGGCCTGTGCTCTCATCTCCAGGCAGCTGTGAAACCTCGGCCTTGTCCACCTCTGGATCAGGCTTGCAGCCCCAGGCCTCGGGTTGCTCTGCCTGTAGATTCCCAGGATCTGCACCATCAAGGGGCCCTGGGGCTGCTCCCTGTCCTCTAGGATCAGCCCCAGAGTCTCTGCTTTCCTTCTCAGTCACAGCTGGGTCTTCAGGGGCCTTGGCTTCATCCTTCAGCCCTAGTGACCTGCTGGCACTCTCATCTGATGCGCTGGGAGTGGGGAGAGGTGGAACCTTTGGTTGGACTTCATGGCTTAGCTCCCTATTCCTGAGCTCTGCCCTTTCCTCCAGGGAGGCAGGAGCAGGAATCTCTCTGGGGCCTCCTTCCCAACCCTCTCCTTCTCCTCTGAGGTCTGATGCTTGCTTCTCTGGTTCTAACAACCCTGCTTCTACCCTCTCTGTAGCCAGATCTGTGAGAACAGGCATCTCGGCCACGGAAACCAGCTCCCTGGCTTGTTCTGCAGCCACGCAGGCCAGAGCAGCTGGCAGGGAGGGGAGGTTTGAAGCTGGACCCGCATCCTTGGTTGCAGCATGTGGGGCAGGCTCAGGGCTCATGAACAAAACTCCCTCCGGCTGGTCAGCTCTCGCTGCCCAGGTGACTTGACCAGGCTCAACATCTTGGCTCCTGGTCTGCAAGTGACCCTGAGCATCAAGGGCACCCAGAGTCTCCTCCCAAGAGCCCTTGTCCCCTGGCGCCAGGGCAGGACCCGGAGAATTCCAGGGCAGCTCTGCAGGCGGGAGCGCTCCCATCGGCTGCTGGCAGCTTTCCTCGGAATCGGCCTTCCCTTCAGCTTCGTGGGCGGCCCCTGAACTGGTCCCAGTGGGAGGGCAGGGCCCGAGGAATCCCACGTCATCATCGGTGAAATCCTGAGGAGGCCCCTCCACTGGGCATTCGGGGGCTAGCTCTTGGGAGGTTGAGGTCATGGGTTTTACGGGAGGCTCCTCCAGGCTGGCTGAGCCCTCTTGGCCTAGTTGGGCAGCAGGAGCCTTGGGGGCTCCCTGCTGGGACTCTGGCCATGGAAAGCCAGCTGCAGCCTCTTGCCCTTGGGAGTTGAAATCACCAGGCTGGGCATCCTCTCCACAGAGTTGCACCTTCATCGGCTCTGGAGAAGCAGTTGGTGGAATTCCTGCCAACTCATCAGTGGAGCTGGAGGAAGACAGTCTCTGCCCTTCTTCGTCCTTCGAACCTGTCTCTCCTCCGGCACTGGGGACGACAAAAACCACCTTGTGCTGAGTTGAGTTGTCGTCCTGAGGGACAGGGGCTGCTGGGGCCTCTCCCGGGCCATTTGGAGAAGGTTCCCTCTGAGGGTGTTGAACCAGGGGCCAACCTTCATGTTCCCCTTCTGGGCTCGCCAAGCAACCTTCTGGGGAGCCCTCGGCAAAGCGCATGGAGGAAGAGGGACTCTCCCGTTCCTGGGGCGCCGGTGCACTGGGACGTGGAGAATCTTCTGGGCCCCTGGCTGCCTGTGGGTGCTCTCTCGGCTCAGTCACCTCCGGGGACACGAGGCAGGGGTCTGGGCTGGCAGCACCCTCAGAAGCAGAGCTGGAACCTCCGTGCCAGACGCTGCCAACAGTGAAAACATTTAACGTTTCATCAGTTCTCATGGAGGGTAAGGAGAGAGCACAGCACAGGCAGAATCACCCCGCCCCTCTCCCACCAAAGCACGTAACACACCACCCGCATGCGGCTCATCCTCCCCATGGAGAGAGCCCACTCCCCATCCTACCGCACCCATAACCATGACTTTCTCCAAAAATCAATTCAGAGAATCTCAAACATTCAGTCTGAGGTTTTCCATGTAGGTCAGTAGTGAATAGGGAAATTAAATAGCAAGGAGATCAAACCAGTCCATCCTAAAGGAAATCAATCCTGAATATTCATTGGAAGGACTGATACTAAAGCTGAAGCTCCAATACTTAGGCCACCTGATGCAAAGAGCCAACTCACTGGAAAAGACCCTGATGCTGGGAAAGATTGAAGGCAGGAGGAGAAGGGGATGACAGAGGATGAGATGGTTGGATGGCATCACCAACTCAATGGACAGGAGTTTCAGCAAAGTCTGGGAGATAGTGATGGACAGGGAAGCCTGCCTGGCATGCTGTGAGGTCACAAAGAGTTGGGTGTGACTTAGTGACTGAACAAAAACAATTATGGACTGAGCTGTGTTCCCTTGAAAGTCCACATTGAAGTCCTAATCCATAGTGTGACTGAGTATGTGGACACAGGGCCTTTAAGGAGGTGATTAGATTTAAGTGAGGTCATAAGAGTGGGGTGCTAACCCAGGAGAACTTACGTCCCTGTAAGAAGAAGGGGGACTCCAGGAGTTACTCATACAGACAAAGAGGCCCTAGCAGACACAGCAGGAAGGTGCCGTCTGCAAACCAAGAGGAAAGGTCTCAACAGAAGCCACCTCTGCCAGCACCTGACCTTGGCATTCCAGCCTCTGGAACTGTGAAGAAACAAAATTCTGTTGTTGAAGCTTCCCAGTCTGTGGGATTCTCTTATGGCACTGTGAACAAACTACTGCAATGGGTATACTGGATATCATTTTACTATCCTTTCAACATTTTTAAGGCTTCAAATTTTCCAAAATGAAAAGTTGGGAAAATACTAATGGATGAAATTTATTCAACATCAGTGCTTTACATGGATTATCTCTCATTTAACCCTACCAATAGCCTTGCAAGGTGGATATTACTATTGCCATTTTGCAGAGAAGAACCCTGAGAACAGAGGAATTAAGCTTGAATCTGACAGACCATGATCATCTTATTCATTCTATACCTCCAAAAGCAAAAACTTTTAAGGAGGGAGACTGAATGTTTGTGTCCCCCAAAATTCATATGTTGAAAACTAATCCCCAAGATGATGGTGAAAGGTTGAGGTTGCAAGCCATGTGCTACACTGGGATTTGTGGCCTCTGAAGGAGAATTAAATCCGGGGCCAGAGACGAGGCTTGACTACAAGGAGCTTTTGTGTAGCAACGTTTTATTATTAAAGCACAATAAGAGATAGGGAAAACTTCTGACACAGACATCAGAAGGGGACAGAAAGAGTGCCTGCTTGCTAGTTTTTAGCAAGGTGTTTTATGTCTGTTAGCAAGCTGTTAATCAGACAAGAGAGACACCTCAAGGCTGAGGGAGTTTCACCAGGCCCTTCTCCCACAATATGCATTTCTGAGATAGAATGGAACAAGGTGTGTCATCACTGGCCATAAAACAATTGACATGAATATTGGTTTGCTGTGCCATTATCAGCCCAAGGTCTGAGAAAAGAAAAAAAAAAAAAGGTTCGTCTTAGGCGAACCGGTTTGAGAAAAGGCACATTTCAAAGCAATTACATAGTTTCATTAACATAGCTCAAGAAAAACACTTCTGTAAGAAAAAACGCATTGGTTATCTCAAGGTTTGAAAAAAGTTCAGTTCAGGCAGAACCAGGTGTCCTCAACAGAGAAGGGGGAAAAAAAACATCCGCCACTTGCAGTTTATTTCCTCCCACCACTTGAGGACCTCTGGCCTTCCTACCTATTAACCCTCTCAATGGTATTAGGAAAGAAGGGTCTTTGGAAGGTGTTAGTCATGAGGGTGGAGCCCCCATGAAGGGATTAGTGCCCTTAAAAAAGAGATGCTGGGAAAGATTGAAGGCAAAAGCAGAGCGGGCGGCAGAGGATGAGATGGTTGGATGGCATCACTAACTCAATGGACATGAGTTTGAGAAAACTCCGGGAGTTGGTGATGGACAGGGAGGCCTGGCATGCTGCGATTCATGGGGTCGCGAAGAGTCGGACAGGACTGGGCGACTGAACAACAAACATATCCATGTAGCTGATTCAGGCTGCTGCTCAGCAGAGACCAACACAAGAGTGTAACGCAACCAGACGCCAACTAAAAATAAAAAATTAATGGTAAATCTTCTTATGGGCTTCTTTTTTATTTATCATCCCATTACTCAAATTTCTACATGAAGCCACTCCAGATAAAAATTTAAAGTATTTTGAGCTGTATTATCAGCACTCGTGCCGCTGTCTTAGAACAGGGGTTTTAAGAGGTTATGAATCTGGCCAAGGTCACACATCAGGGCAGTCTGGTGGACCTGATCCTCTCTGATTCCAAAGCCAGAGAGAAGCATCTCAGTTGAGGAGGGGAGCTGGGGTCGATTCCTCACCTAAGAGGGGAACTGTGGACCCCAGGCTGGTGTGACCTCCATGCTGGCTGACCCATTCCCTGTAATGAGCACCCTGCTCTGTCCTGTGGACTTCAGTCTTCTGATTTGTGAGTCCTGAACAGAAATCACTCTCTAGAGTAATATCAAGACAATACAAACTTCCAGTCACAGTAAATTCCAATTCCAAAGTGTCCCTGACTCTTCTGAAGAAGGCTCTTTATACCATCCTACTACCTTTGGGTGCCTGCTTTACCATTTAACTATGATGACTCCAGAATCATAATACAGAGTGAGTGACATTTTCATATCAGGGTCCCACATTTTTAAAACTCTAACCCAATTCCCGCTTGTCTAACTATCATACAGGTCTCAGCTCCAAATTCCTTCTGCAGCCAGGCTTCCCTTTCAATCACCACATTATCTGAAAATAATTGAACAGATAAATCTCCTGCTCTTTATTCCAGGATCAAGGGTAATTTAAAGTAATTCTGGAAAGACACTGATGTGTCTAACAGCTCAGACAGATGCAAACAACAGATGGAATCAGGAGGCAGAGCTCTGCTCTCACCCAAGGTGGGGAGGGGACCGCGTGCTGAATTTCCTCCAGCAAAGGAAATATGACAAGGACTCAGATTTGTCTTCAGAGAAGAAAACAGGGTAGACCTTTATCACTTTTCAGCCCCACCTGTCCTCCTCATAGAAAGCGAATCTGTAAGAAGAACGGCAGTTCTCTCCAGCAAAAACATAGCTGATTGGAGTCAAAATAAAGGCAATTGTACCATCTATGGGGACAGCACACTGCACTGGGCAGTTATTTCACATCCTCTAGTTCTTAGAAAATCCGTGTGTGCTAGCAGGCAGGTAAAATACTGTTTTCCACTTCTCAGAAACGGAAGTGAAGGAACTTTTGCCAGGTCTCCTGCCTTGAAGTCCAATACTCTTTCCACGATAATAACACCCAATGCCTACATCGCATATTTTTTGGTAGAATAATCACAGCAGACATTATTATGAACACTTTCTATGTGCCACATACAGGTCTCCACTGATTTTCAAGCTTGCTTTACATCACTTCTCTTTTACAAAAGACCTGTACATGTTTTTCCGAAACCCACGCACAACTGCTGACTCCACGCGCTGCAACTTCTGGAGTCCGCACGCCTAGAGCCCTGCTCCACAACAGGAGAAGCCACAGTGAGAAGCGCATGCGCCGCACCAAAGATTAGCCCCCGCCCCTCCCTGCGACCCCCGCAATTAGAGAAGGCCCGAGTGAAGCAGTGAAGACCCCAGGGCAAACAAAAATAAATAAATAAATAAATAAATTTAAAAAAAAGAAATCTCAAGGGGATTTTTGCTTTTATTGAAAAGGCACAAAGCAAAAATACCCTTCAGCATTTCTTTTGCAGCAAAGCTGGTATGGAGACAGCATGAACGCCTAGCAGCAGCGAGAGTGGCCCTGCCAAGCTCCTTGGCTGGGAGCCACACTCAACATCCCAGCAACAAGTCGCCATATCTCTCTCTGAACTATGTCTGTAAGCACCTGGGCTTTATCCAGTTTATTTTGCGCATCTATCAGCAAGAGATGTCCTAAGGTAATCACTGCTTTAAGCCGTATCAGCTTAGAAAAGCTTTCCTAGGAATTTTCTACATTCAGAAGGCGGACAACCGGGGTAGCCTGCACTATTGTTTTTAAGTGCATAACATATTTGAACTCATCCAATTCTTACAACAACCCTATTTTACTGCTAGGGTCACTTAGCACAGAGAGGTTAAGCCACTTGCCCCAAATCACACTATTTGGAAGCGGTGAAGCCAGGACTTGGGCTCAGATGGTTTGGCTCCAGAATCTGCACCCTTGACGCCCTGCCTTATGCTACCTCACCAGGCAGTGGGAATCCTGTGACTCCCATCATCTTCCTGCCATGCTCCAAGGAAATAAAACAACTGGACATCTATGAACACTATGGTACAGAGGGCTGGAGTCAATGCCCAGAATAGTCCCCTGGCACAGGGAGGCATTCCAGAAATACTTGTTGAATGTATGAAAAACAGATCATTCCTGTTTAGTCTGCTAGCCACTTCTGCAAATCAAGGGGCACACACTCGGGCCGTGGAGCTCTCACCCCTGCCTCATTTCCCGCAGTGCCTTTGAGCTCGTCCCTCCCCCGTCCCTCCCCCTCTCCCCACCCCATCCTAGCAACAGTACTAAGGCCTGTTGCTTACAGGATTCCTAGGGGTCTGTTGTGTCAACAGGCATCACTACAAAACAGGATACATTTCTAAAGTTACCCCTTACACTTCCAATAGCAGGCTGGAAAAAAAAAAAAAAAACTGGCAACGCTCCACATGACAAACAGACTTGTCAGGTTGCTTCTTCAAATCTTTCCTTTGCTGTCATTGCTTGAGTAAACAAACAGCCTTTCTTTGGCTCAGGAATACTCCAGAGCTGTGGGTTTATTTAAAAGCAGTCTTCAAACAGTCACAACTTTCCAGTCCTGAAAAATACACTTTACCCAAAGCTAAAGTGCTTCCCCACTAAAAAAGAAAAATTCCCCTGACCTTACCTCTTAAATAAGCTCCACCTCTCTGGACCATGGCTTACTGGTCATGCCAATAAAGAGGTTTAATTAACACAGTTAGATCATGACCAGGGTGTCTTGCCAAGTCGCCCACTCTTGGAATGAGCTTCTGGGGAGCAGTGTGACTGCAGGTGAATGCTGGGAAGTAGACCAAAGGTCATCCCCATGGCATTAGGAATCAGATTTCAGAAACAACTGCTGGGCTGCCAAATATGGAGGGGGAACACATGTTCTGCGCT